CAAATACAACAGACAGTGATGACGTTTTGTCAAATACAACAGACAGTGATGACGTTTCGTCAAATACAACAGACAGTGATGACGTTTTGTCAAATACAACAGACAGTGATGACGTTTCGTCAAATACAACAGACAGTGATGACGTTTTGTCAAATACAACAGACAGTAATGACGTTTTGTCAATGTCAAATACAACAGACAAAGGAGAGACGCAGATGTGTTACTTTTCTCCCTGGAATAATCACAAAGGCCATAGAAGGACGGGAACGTTTTGTCAAATATGTTTTTCTAAATTTTTCCGGAAATGAATAAATTTAAAAAATCGGGCTCAGTCATGGGGACTTTTCTATTGTTTTGCAGGTACTGTCCAACTTTCAACTCTGTAGCTGTCGTAGTTTTATGGAAAGGTGACAATTGTTTTTCCAAGGTGTTATATATCAGAGATTTCACACCTCACGTCAATCAGCGACTGGTTCTTCACGTCATAATATGCTATTTTAGCACAGGGATTCGTTTCGTCCAAGACTAAGTACCAAAAGCAAAATGAGGAGAGTTGTCTCGGGAGCCGGATCTTTAACTTCCAGAGATGCGTCACTCTTGATTGTTTTAAGGTTTGGGGGAAGGGAACTTAACAGGCTTGGGTCACTCTTTTTCACGCTGTTGTCATCACCGGCTAATTATGGGCTAACTATGGGATATTTATGGGATAATTATGGTATTATTATGAGCTAATTATTGGGAAATTATGGGCTAATGAAATGGAAAGTACGGGCTAATTACGAGCTAATTATGGGGAAATTATGGGTTAATTATTATCAAAATTGTGCGTTAATTATGGACTAGTTATTGGATAATTATGAGTTATTTTGGGGAAGTTATGGGCTAATTATGGGGAAATTGTGGGCTAATTACGAGCTAATAAAAAGGAAATTATGGGTTAATTTTGGTGAATGTGTGGGCTAATTATGGGTTAATTATAGGATAATTATGAGTTAAAAATGGGGAATTTGTTGGCTAATTATGGGCTAATTATGGACTAATTGTCAGGGAATTATGGGCTAATTATGAGTTATTATATTATATTATATAATATTATTATGTCGAAATTATAGGGAAACTATGGGTACTTATGAGCTAATTATCCTGAAATTATGGGTTTATTAAGGGGAAATTAAGAGTTAATTATGGGCTAATTATTGGACAACTATGAGCTAATTAAGGGAAAATTATAGGCTACTTATGGGATAATTTTGAGTTAATTATGGAGAAATTATGAGCTGATTATGAAGAACTTATGGGCTATTTATGAGATAATTATGAGTTTATTATGGCGAAATTATGGGCTAATTATGGGTTACCTTCGGTTTAATTATGGGCTGATTATGTTCTAATTATGGGCTAGCTTCGGGCTCATTATGGGCTGATTATAAGCTAACTATGGGCTACTCATGGGCTACTCATGGGCTACTCATGGGCTACTCATGGGCTACTTATGGGCTACTCGTGGGCTACTCATGGGCTACTTAGGGGCTACTTAGGGGCTACTTAGGGGCTACTTATGGGCTACTTATGGGCTACTTATGGGCTACTTATGGGCTACTTATGGGCTACTCATGGGCTACTTATGGGCTACTTATGGGCTACTTATGGGCTACTTATGGGCTAGAGACGCCTACAACATCTATGCCCGTTCTATGACGTCATGTAGAAGCCATAGAACACCTTGGCCAAACTCTCATGATGAGAGAGAGGGGGGGGGAGTTAGAGTGGATGAGAGGTAGAGAGAGGGGGGAGGGAGAAAGAGGAGGGTGAGAGTGGATGAGAGGTAGAGAGAGGGTGAAAGGAGAGAGGGAAGAGGGGAAGAGGGAAAGGAAGGAGAGGGGAGAGTGAGATGGAGATAGAGGGAGGGAAAAGGGAAAGAGAGGGGGAGTAACAGTGAGAGTGGGAGAGAGAATGAGTGAGGGAGAGAGAGATAGAGGGTGATAAAAGGAGAGACAGTTTAACAGAAGGCGGACAATAAAGAAGCAATATTATGTCCATTATGTCCCCTAAACAATTACTTCCATCAATTTGTGATTAGACGCTGCCTTTAGGAGAGGAAACGTTGTAGATATTGATGTGATGGTTGGGACAGACAGACAGACAGACAGACAGACAGACAGACAGACAGACAGACAGACAGACAGACAGGCAGACAGACACACAGACAGACAGACAGACAGACAGACAGACAGACACACAGACAGACAGACACACAGACACACAGACAGACAGACACACAGACACACAGACATACAGGACACATGGTAGATATTGATGTGGTAGTGGGGACACACAGACAGACAGGGAACTTTGCTCACACGTACCACCACAGTGTCGCACGTGAAGTCGTCACCTATAGTGCGGTCAACAGCTCCTGGCTACTTTCCCTCAGTTCTCTCATCAAAGGGTGAATCAATGTCTCTCCATACTTTGCACAGCTGTTTCTATCAATTTGTCTTAACCTAGTCATATTTTCCCACAAGAATTGAGGCTGGATTAAAAATGTTTTCTTTATAAATTTAAATAAAATACTAGAAAACTCGGTCGTCCTGGAGGTGGTTTTGTTCACAGCGCTTACCGCTTCTCATACATATTTTTGTGATAAGATAAGATAAGATAAGATAAGATAAGCCTCTGCCTGTACAATAACGGCTAGACACTTGTAGATAGACATAGTCAGACATAGATATACGGTCGACGGGTTGGTGGGGGACGGGGGGTTCGAGAAATCTTGAAGAAACACCAAAAGTGGACATTGTCCTACCTATAGGAGAAGTTTGGTTTCCTTGGTGTGTATATTTGTTTGGTTATAGGGAAAACGCTTCTTGTCTTTTAAAGAAACTGAACAAGGGTCCAAAAACGTTTCCTTCGATTTTCTTAAAACAGCATTTTTCGGGATAGCCGCCTTGTGCTTAAAAGCGACCAAAATAAGTTTGAAATTGTTTTTTACTTTCATGAAAAAAGATCCACAATGAAGCACACAAAAAGGTTCTAACCAATCACATCTGATGTATCTCTCAAATATCACAGACTTGGTAATTTATGTACATATATTACTGTAATATTAACCCTTTTTGGGCCTTACCAGCCTTCCCATCACGTTTCCATGCCGGTCTTTGTTTTGTTCCTTGTTTTTGTTTTAGTAAAGTTTTACGGCGCTTGCAACTGCACAAATAAGGTCATAAGAGTGCCAAGGTGTGGATGTCAACAGAGAAGTCCAAACGGGAATCAGACTTACTCTGCTCATCTCTCTAGCCTCAACAGCACAAAGTCTGCTTCGACTCTCAAGGCACCCCGGAAATAGCAGGTCACAAGAGAGTGACAAACATACAAGGGGGAGGGGGAGGGGGG